CATTGCCCCCAACTCAAACCAAAACTCGTTGGTAAATAATCGATGAAATAGTTTGTCTGGACACATTCAAGTTCCTCTCATTGTCACCTTAAAGCTGTGAAAATTTGGTGTTAATCCGACGACAATAAGTATATGTTATTTTTTGTTAAAGACCTTGTATTTTGAAAAACATAAACTCCTAGAAAACGTCCATGAAGTAACAGCAAAGATTTTCAAGCTTGTTTATCGGCACAATCAATTTGTTTTCCCACCAAGGTCTGTTTTACCATGTGTCGGGATCAATGATTTTTTTCAGTGGCTGTGTGACCTTGTGTCTGACACATTCATATGCAAATGCAAATGACTAATCTGTGAAACTTATAGGCACACAGATTAAACCTGTGTTGTTGATTTTGGAAAACACTACTGAGGCTGCCTTGCTTCCCTTCAGAAAATCTACATTTTAACCAACTTACATGACATTCTATGTTATATTGACTTTATCATATGAAAGTTTATGGTGCATTTCATCAATTAATAAATAAATGTGAAAATCATAATTTTCAACACAAATAATAGTCTCGCTACCTTAAATGAGCTTACAACTAAGTTTTGCTGACAACATACTGTGAAATACTTTATTTTAGCTGGAATTAATTTTCGCTGAAAAGACTTTTTAGGTGTTTTGTATTAAATTTGTAGGAATTATTACTTCAGCGAAAATAGCAAGATTAATTCTAAGCAAAAATAAAGTATTTTACAGTAACTTTAATTAGGTGCTCTAATAGGTTTACAAAGTTATCATAAAATGTAGTGATATAGACAACCAAGTAATACATAACCCATACTGAGATGTAATTTGTTGAAGAACTTGTTCTTTCCCTGCCTAGATCTGCTTATTTCTGTCATAAATTTATAATTCAAATCGTCAAATTGTTAAAGAAAGGTTTTCCATTGTCTGAAGGTAAAGTAACGATAAAAAAACTTGATTAATAATATTAATACTGCAAGATGCTCAATATTATTCCTGAAATCTATTATGATGTATAGGTGGAGATACTGACCAACTGTTTATTTATTTCAAAGGGATATGTTCTGTGCTGGCAGAGTTCCTGAGGAAGATTTGAAACGTACAATGAAAGCTTGTGGTGGTGCGATACAGACATCTATAGAGTCGCTGACAAAAGATGTCTTAGGTAGTTGTGAATCATTTGAGGAGCAGCAAATAGGTGGAGAAAGGTATAATATATTTACTGGCTGTCCACAGGCTAAGACGTGTACGATTATATTACGTGGTGGTGCCGAACAGTTTATAGATGAAACTGAACGATCTTTACATGATGCTATTATGATTGTACGAAGAGCTATCAAGAATGACGCTGTAGTTGCAGGTACTGTTTCATTTGGGTGTGCTAGTGTTGTCTGATTTAACCTTTTCACCACCAGACTTTCTCACCCAATTTTTTTCTATACTTTTTTTTTTGGAGTCAACAGAAACAATTCGAGTTTTTAGCTCCGCTGTCGACTTTGTCGAGCGGAGCTTATCATATGAGTGATTGTCCGTCGTCGTCCGTGTCAATGTTTTACTTTTTCGACTTCTTCTTGAAAACTACAAGCCTGAATGCTTTGATACTTGGTGTATATGTACCTTGGGTAGACCTCTCTCAGATTTGTTCATTTCATGATGATATCTTCAATTCTCTAATTTTGGTGAATATTTTTGTCATTTTTAGTAAAAAGTGATATTTTCGACTTCTTGTTGAAAACCACAAGTGCAATTGCTTTGATATTACATATATAGGTACTACATTTGGACCTCTCTCAGATTTGTTCATTTTGTAATGATATCTTCAATTCTCTAATTTTGGTGAATATTTTTGTAATTTTTGGTAAAAAGTGATATTTTCGACCTCTTGTTGAAAACCGCAAGTCCAATTGCTTTGATATTACATATATA